AACGAACATGAATTTACTCTGTCCAGCTTGGTACTGTAAGGTCAAATTCACCCCATTGCCTAGTGCTGGATCAGCCCAGATCTTGTTCCCAGGCACAGCCCTAGGCAGAGGGTGGGGTCAGTACAACCCCTAGCCTTAACAGCAAAGCCCTCAGGCCTACAACCGTCATTATCTTCACTCACCCATCTTCCTGTTATCTCTTCGTCTTGCTCTCTTTGTCTCTTCCACCTCTTACTGCTTTTCTCAGTGTCTGTCCTCCTTTCTGGATACCCTGCCTCTCCTTTACTTTCTTGGAGGCCCCGACACACATACACATCTCACGCTTACTGTCTCCCCTCCAAGGCCAGACTTCATCACGGCCCCTCTCACAGCCCACTCATCCATAGGGCCCATCCATCACCATCATGCAGAAAGAATGAAAAAGGGAGGGTAGTAGACCTATGAGCAAAGAGATGAAGAAAAAAGAGATGCACAACATCCTCAAAGGTGAAAAGTCAGATGTTTGCATCTGACAGGAAGATGCTGTGAGTCAGGAAACAAATGCGGAGATCACTGCATTAAAAGAGGGACAGCCAGAAAGAGGCAACTGAGAGGTTTTATGATCCTGAGAGTGCAAGTTGAAGGAATTATTGAGGTAAAAGCTGCCCTTAAAAAGGGGGTAAATAAAAATCAGAAGAATCCCCATTAGAGTTGTGTTTATTAAGGTCACAGTGTTTCAAATATTCGGAAAAGAAGTAGTTCTTGAAGGTCCCAGAAAACCACCATCCAGTGTTCCAGATTTTGACTTGTATGTCTTGCTCTGACTCCCTGTTTGTGCCCGGGGCGAACATTTTGACAGGGTGCTCCCTCTTTTGTGGAGCACGCCATTGGCAAGGCCAGAGTCAGCCCAAAAACAAGAGGGATAAAGACGTTAAACACACCGGTGAACCCTGTCTGAAAGACATACATTTCAAAGTGCTTCTAACTTGAGACAAAAATGCAACAAAGCTGGTCGATGTGCTAAAAAAAGTGTCTGGGAAGATAGAGCAAGTTGGTCAGGTCGGAATCAAAGCTCGGTAACGGGTTTCAGCACCTTCCTACAGTTATGCCCAGAGGCCGAAATGTCTAACTGACAACGTCTATATCCGTCAGTCAGAAAATAATGGGCTTCAGAAATCGACCCCTGAGCTTGGAAACTCATCTAGCAGAGAAAAAATGTATTCAATCTGACAAAAATTGATCAGTATTACAGTAGGCAGGCTTGATTTTTGAATCTGAGCTTGAATGTGCTGTATGTTACAGAAACAGAATTTGGGCCACATTGAGGAGCAAAAAGAGAATTTAAGGAATAGTTGTTATATTATGAAAATAAACGTTTAATTCTATGAAAAGGAAGTCAGAAGAGAAAAGTCATACATTAACAAAAATGTAATTTTACAAGGCAAAAGAGAAAAATAAATGTAAATTTACAAGAATAACAAAATGAGTTTTGAAAAAGTCTTCAAGGAAAAGGTGTGAGTTGTGAAATGTATTCCTGATACTCTGTTGTGACATGTACACATCCTATAGGTTTGTTTACTCTATGTAAAATATCCAAACATAGTGCAGGTTTCATTGAGGTAGCATCATAATACCTTTTGGTCTGCCTGAAATCATCACGCTATTGCTATTATGTTCCTATTTAAGTGGTCATAAAAATGTCAATAACACAAAGCTATCTTGATAATGTGATGAATTACAGTGTAATCAGCATGTTTATTAAAAAACGCCATATGCTTGTTGGTCTGCGGCTGCCTCTCTATCTCGGTGTAGCCCTCTTTTTTCTTTTTTGTCTTTCTGTTTTCAATCTCTTCTTCTTTCAGCACCACAAATATAATTAATGGCAGAGCGCAAGGAAGCATGTTACTGGTTTATGGATTTTTGATGGTAATCTTCTGGATTAATTATGTGATATATGTGCCTTGTTAAGGTAATCGCGCTCGGGTAAATACAATGCATGAACTTTGATAGCGAACTGGCAGGCGTTTCTCCCCTGCCTCCCTAAATCAATTTGCACCGTTCCCCGAGTCATTCCTGCTTCGCTTCACACAGAGATACTGCCAGGTATGAAGGTTGCGCGTTTACTGAAATGGCCAAAAGGGGGTCAAATGATTACAGTGATTACAATGATAATGGCATGGTAAAACCCGTGCAATCACTCATCAGCTGTAATATAATAGGCACCTCGCACACCAGTATGTTTAGATGCATTTATACTGTAAATTCACAGTTTCATCAACATGGAAATTGGATTCAGGGGTGGGATAGATATCATGCACGTGTGGAACAGCCAATTCCTGTGGATGAAAATGGGCTGTAGTGTGGGTTTGTGTGTATGTGGGACACAGACTGATACCATAAGTATTTGCATATGTGTATGTAAGCTCACAGATGAGTACACAAATGGCATCTGTGTGTTTCAGCCTGTGAGGTGAGCTGCTATGTAATGGGAGGCGAGCGAGCTGGCAGAGATAGTAAAGAATGCATGGGGACTGTGGACACCCAGCCAGCGCCGGCAGACAGTCAATCTTCCTCGCTGCATCACTGAAAATGCCACTCAGCTACCAAGGTTGTTTAGCAAGTAAACAAGCCTCTGGCCACCATGCATCCAAACGCGTATATTTCCTGAGGAATAATGGCCAAGCAGTGCAGGAGAAGGTGAATCGTGCATCCTCCTGATCTCCCACATAGCTGGCTGATAGTTTCTCGCCCATCTTTTTCACACTTTTCTCACACCTACACATGCATGCATAGATATACACTCACACCGTCTCATCTACACACACAGGTCATGCTAAAGGAAAAGCAAGAAGATATTTTTTGATTCCTCCCTTCCTCCAGGGTCCCTGTTGACAGCTTTGATTTGAGTGCTGTGGTGGCAGAGGTACTCCCAGGGCGTCATCTGTACCAGTAAATCACCAGACCACACGTGTATGTGTGCATGTGTCTGCACGATGCAGAGGACAGGACATTTACCCAGGTGGATGAGCATGTGTGTTAAGAGTTTAGTGGTAGTGGTCTGCAGGCTGGTGTTTTTTAAAAATAATTTTTCCTGAATACTACTTTGTAATACTGATGGGGGGGCCTCACAAATAACATCTACACAACCATTTTTCATAAATGCAGATTTAGCAGAATTTGCACTCACCCTGTGATAAAAATGATTTATTCCTTTCCTTTTAACAAAATTAAGCAAGGACAAAAGTGACACAGTAACATGTCTTCCTCTGATAGCAGCACAGTGTTACAAAATGGATTGAAGTGACAAATCCTCTTTGGGCTGAAGCAGGCTCCTGTTGATGACTGAACGTGGCAACATGGTTTTTGTCATGAAGTGAGAACAGCTTCTAGATAAACACATAATGTCGAAGCTATCAGTTTTTTTTTTTGTTTTTTTTTAGAAATTGAGTCATGTGTTGTGCTTTAATTTTATTGATTAGATGTACTGAGTGTTACTGGTAGTGTTATTGATTATATTTCCCTTTTCTGTGAGTCAAAGTCAAATAAAGACAAGCATTGCCTCTTTGGTATGCATCTTCTGACGGGGCTTTCCTTGGCAATAAAACTTCAAAAATCCACTTGTAAAATAGCACAGGCAACACCAATAATTGCAAGCTTTCTGTTCAGTTTCTGCAGAAAATGCTCATCTAGATTTATCAATATATTAAAAGAAAGTTCTAGCTCTCCAATTGTTGCTTTTTTTAACTTGAATCTACCAAAAAAAAAAGCCTATGCTAATAAAATAAAAACGTACAACCCAGATACTTTGGCTGAAAAAGACTGTTTTGCCCGAGGCTTTCTATTGAATGCTTTGACTAACTGTCAAATCAAACCTGTCGAACCACGAAAGCAGAATTCGACTGACATCACACATCAAGTCAGACATGTCAACAAATGAAATACAGGTAGTTTCAAAAAGCAATGTCTTCCTGAGCAAAAAAAATGAAAGCCATGTCTGCATTAAAAAAGGGAAGGCTTGAAAGAAGCAAGTGAAAAAAGGTTTTATAAGACTGGGAGGGTAGGGTGGTAGGAGATATTGTAGTAAAAGCTGCGAAAAATATCTGAAGAATCCCCATCAGAGTTGTGTTGATGTTCCCTGGGATTCCCTAATAGAGCTCTAAAACACCAATTGCAAACACTGCTAATAAAGATAAACATTTCTCTGATCAAGCATTTAACAGGAGAAAATCCAGTACGACTGTATCCTTTCAGTCATATGTGGTGTGATACAGTGTAGCTACTGTAGCTAAAAGGATAATTTATCCCTATTTTATAACTGTCACTGTTACACTCCCATGTTTTGGATGTTTTTTGTTTAAATGACAGACAATGAGTGAATGGATTTATGTAGCAGTGACATGAGCTGCATGCAACCGTGTAAGCGCTCCTACCTTCAGAGATTGTATTTTACCAAAGGCTCGTATTACTATGTCAGACAAAGTCATGACAAATGTGTAAGTGATATTTTTTATGAAATAATAAAAGTCCATTAAACACATAAACAGCCCCATTGCAAAATCCCCTGACTTAAGTCGTGGAAAAACGTAATATTTTTTTTTGTAAAACACCCTGGGTTATACAAACACACAGTGTGTCTGTGAATGTGCATATGGAAATTATAGCAACAACAAATTAGTTGAATGCTTGATTTTTTGATTTTTTTGTTCTTTACGAAAGGGACTGTGTTGGGACTTTTGTGGATAAAATTGAATATGCACTTGTCAAACCTAGCAACAGTAACTAAGGGGCGTGGCTTAGAATAAATTCTTTTTGGGCGTTGATCTCATGTTCTAGAATCTTGACATCATCAATGACATCACCGATACCTCTGACATCATCAAGCATCTAAGAACCTGTAGTTTCCACTTCTATCATAAAACCTCTTCATTGCAGTTCCCAGAGTTAGAGTGTGTCCTTTGAGATTACAACCGAACAAGGTAAGGTTCCTAGATCAGGAAACAGGAAAAGACCAACGTTTAAAAATGAACAACATAGGTAGGAAAGGCATTCTGAGAGTCCACAATAAAATGGGAGACCGTTTCTGGAACCAGGGACCTGCAGTCTTCCAAAAACCAAAGAAGAGGGTAAGGTTCCTAGATCAGGAAACAGGAAAAGACCTGGTTTTTACAATGGTCCAGATTCAAGAGGTGAACCTGCAAAAGCTTATGGGCCATGAAGAGAGAGCAATCTGTTTGGAGGAGGAGAAGATGGCCCTGCTCAATGAGGTCAATGAGCTAAGATATCAGCTTCAAACTCAAAAAGCAGAGAGCATCCTCAGGATTGAAGACCTACAGGTCGCGATCTGCACAGAAGTCGCTGCAAATATGGAAGCTGTGACAAGAGCTGCAGAGCTAGAGAAAACTCTGGCAGAAGAAAAAACAAAGAGGATGGATGCAGAGACACGCCTACTGGAGCAGACAAGAGAGACCTCCACCCTAAAAAATGCACTTGCCCAGGAAAGAATTGACCTGGAGGTCCAGAGGAGACAGTGGGAGGAGGACAAAGCCTGTCTGTTGGAGGAACACAAACAGATCACATCCACAATGAAGGAAACTTTGATCCAGACACAGAAGACGCTGGAAAAAGAGAGACTCCAGTGGCAGCAAGAAAAGTCCAGTCTGGTCCAGACCATTGAATCCCTCAAGGAGATCCAGAGACAGTGGGAGGAGGACAAAGCCTGTCTGTTGGAGGAACACAAACAGGTCACATCCACAATGAAGGAAACTTTGATCCAGACACAGAAGACGCTGGAAAAAGAGAGACTTCAGTGGCAGCAAGAAAAGTCCAGTCTGGTCCAGACCCTTGAATCCCTCAATAAGACCCTGAAGGAGAAGCAATCTGTAGAAGAGTCTAATGATAGATTACAAGAGAGACTACTGGAACTGGAGGCCGAGATGGAGGAATGCCTGAAGAAAACAAAAAGGAGGTCTATGAGGAAGAGGTTCATCCAGTTCTTTCAAAGAAACAGAGTAACTGATTCTTCCATAGACTACTGACCTGGTGTTCACTCTAACTGCACCCCAAACTGTAACGGAAAAAAAGAAGAAAAAAAAAAACAATGAACCTGCATCGTTTCAAACCAAACAAAACCTGAAAAAAAAACTGTAAAAAAAATAAAATAAATAAAATTTAAAAAAAATTATTATTTTTTTTTTTTAAATAAAAAGATAAAAAAAAAACTTAAAAAAAAAAAAAACTTTAAAAAAAACTTTAAAAAAAAAATAATTAAAAAATAAAAAAACCTCATTAACTCCGCCAAATTGTCTCAGTTGGGTCATTTTTGCCGGTCCCAAGCCCGGATAAAGGAGGAGGGTTGATTTTGTGACAAAAAAAAAAAAAAGAATTGACAGAAGAAAGTTAATATGTAGTTCTATACATATATGGGATGTTTTTTACTCACTTTTTTACTTGCTTTTTGTCCCTACTACGACGTTGTTCCTCTCCCTTACAACGTCCATAACAATTTGGCCAATTATGCAAATTAGGTAATGACGTCATTTAGTGACTCAATAGCTACTCAGAGTTGGCAACACTGAGTAGTTTTTGCACAGAGTTTCAGCAAGTTGTCAGACCCATCATCTGAGTCACTTCTGCTTGCTTCTGTTGTCTAATGCCTTTTAAAAAAAAGAAATTACAGGATTGGTTAATGGGTGGTAAACAGTGGTGGTCACCATATTGAAAATTCTTGAATGAACTTTTCGACGAAGCTAGAAAATACACAATAGCTGCAAAACACCACCTGATGTACTTTTTGTGTGCCTTTTAAAGCACTCTCTCTGTGGCCCATTTTTTTCCACCACTGGGAACGCTTGAGACACATGATCTGCTGCAAAAACACACACCAGATATGCCATTTTGCATGTCTTTGTGGCCATTCTTTTTGTTGTTCTCTACATTTTGTGGCAGATTGCATTCTACCACCAACTGTGTCTCTTCACTCTAGTTGCAGTTAGTATTTTCATCTTGTAACATGCCAATTATAGAGAGGGGACTAGACATGCTTTTGGGTGCATGCATGTTTCCAAACTTTAAGAATCTCATTTGTTTTGGGGTCCTTTTTTTATTATTATTAAAAATGCCCCTACAGCCACAAACCATGAAAAAGCACATCTTTTGTCTGCTGTTGCCATCTGAGCAGCAGCATTGTTAGTGATGGACCTTGTTTTTCTCCTGTCTTTCTTTCTCTCTCTCTTTGGTCTGGTAGTCAGTTATTGGGACTTCTGGGAATGAAAACAGCCTGAGCTCAGACACACACACACACACACACACACACACACACACACACACACACACACACACATATATACAAACAAGAAGCATCCACTTGCCCCAGCGGAGTCTAAGGCCATTCACACAGCCACTGGGCGTGCTAGAGACTCCGCTATGGCCTAGTGGTGTAAGCCACACGTGGCTAGCACCATTGTCCCATATTAATACACTATCGACCCACCCAGACATGCTTTGTCAATGGAAGGTGCCGCCACACCAGATTTTCTCTGGGTTGTATTGATGTGGGGGCACCAGAGGAAAGCAGTAATGGATACATAGTCGGCAATAAGAACCTCAGCCAAGCTTGGAGAACAGACGGTGAGGCAATTTTTTTGTTTTTTCTCATCCTGTAATCTTTGAGCAGCTCAAGGGTCCTATAGAAAGCATCCATGCTGTCCTGTTCTCAGGCCAGAAGACACAGCCTGGGACGTCCACTGAGGTTTAGGGTTGCTATTTCAGTTTCTGGGCATGATGGATTATTTCTTCCCGTCTTCTCCTCCTGTCGGCAGTCATGCATCTCAGCCACCATACAGATTTAGCGAATATGAATGTATATGTTTATATTTATGGGGTTCAGATATAAAAATAGATAGGGGTGAGGGGAGGTTTATCTCAGCACTTTGGCGTCCCCTGACACCTCCTCTATCTGTAAATATCTGGAGACAGCAGTGTCAGGGATTTATGTGAAGGTGACAATGCCAGAACGAGCTGTCCTACTGTTTCAGTCAGCCTCCTATCAGAGCTGTGTGAAAATAAATTACATTTATAATATACATTTTAAAAATAATGTCCCCTGTCAAAAAATCCAAACACATTAGAATCATTGCTTTTGTCCTGAAAAAGAAATAGTATAAGGTAAAAAAACATGCCAATCAATTGAAGATGTTAAAGCTTCAGTGAGGAATTTTTGGTTTGTGTTTGTTTTGGCGCCCCTGTGGACAGAGCACTCGGCTTGTCTTGTCCTCTCCATTTTTAAGTTGTGTCTTCTGACAAAAGTCTCATCATCGTGAGTTTTGACAGTCAAATTCATCATTATTGTGAATATTCCAAGTGGAGAATGTCAAAATGGGTCGTTTGTGCAGCTGCTCGGCCGACTTCTACCAAGGGTAGGGCATTGTTTAAATTTGAATAGTTCCGATTCCAATTCCTCGCTTCAATTCTGGTTCCAAACGATTCTCTATTCTGATTCTTCAAAAAGGCAGGATAAAAAATGCTTGGTTTATATGAGGGCACTAAAGTTCTTTTTGAATGAAATGTCTGAACTTCTTCATGAATTATATGAACTTTACTATGAATTTCTCCCTGAGAGCTATTTTCAACCCGTATATAAATATTAATATTTGTTGTCAGGTCGTTTGTCTATGAAAAGTATACGGGCCAACGTTAGTTGGATATTGAAATTGACCCATAGTATACTGTACAATTAGTGTGCCGCCTCAATGTTAGCAGAAGACTTTATTTTACTTATCTGATTCAGACGGGTTAGAGGAACACTGGTGCAGCACCCCAAAGATGTGGCACTCAGTTATTTGTACTCCATGAATCCACACACACACACTCCCTGTGGCTTCTTCCTCGTTGGTGTTCGGGGGCCATTTCTCCCGGTAGGTGGACTTCGTAACAAAACTTGGAATCGAAATTTGGAAATTTGAACAGTTCCGGGAGAACCAGAATGTTCGTCTCAGTTCCTATTGATGCCCGAAACTCAATGCCCAACCCTACTCCTAGCACCTCACACTGGATTTGGGTATTAAAAATTACAATATAAAATTATTCATCATGTTGCTGACAGTCCTGTTTGCTTTTGCATATTATGAAAAGGTGTCAATGCAAATTAGTCTATTTTATAGATGTAAAAAAACTCCTCACAGGAGCTTTAACTCGGCACCAAATAAGCTTAAAATGTCTAAAATACTATTTGTGTGACCAATAATGTTAATTAAACCCTGAGGTACAACACAGAAAAGATAAGAACAGCTGAGAAAGTTGCGGTACAGCTCCAAGAACTAAGCAACTATGTTTCCATACGATTGCAAGTACCAGAAAGTCTCTCTATCCATACCTAAGCAGAAACATGGCTGTCCGGCATATGACAGTCCCTCAGTGTTGCACTGTTTGCAGCACACTGACAAAGACAGGTCAGCTGTTCTGCCAGGTTAAGCGAGTCACAGTCTTGGGGATATGCAGGCTGAAGTCCCATGTGAGCTGACCTAAAAGCTTCAGGTGGGCTCACATTCCCAACCCGGCTTTCTGTGCTGCTGGAGGATGGATCACTAGATGGACGGATAGAGGGACACAGCGGAAAGAGACAACAATTTTATTTCCCATCTGCCGCTTTTGTGCAGCATCAGCAAGCGTTTCATTCCCTAACCTATTTTAGGCTGCAACTTTTTTTTTTTTTCTCTGCTGGGTATCCCGCATATCAGCACGTTTCAATCACAGCAAACAGAGGTTAGGTAGGTTTTTGAGACTGGGCAGGCAGGTGCAGTTTAAACCCCTGTGCGGCGTCACCCACCAAGACCTTTCTCTTAATCTGAAAGGCCGAGTGATGAGTCAGCATGAGCAGTTTGAGGTGTTGGACAGAGAGGTCTGGCTTATCAGGGTGTCAGCCAGCAGCTGGAGCCTCCATGCTGAGAGAGAACCTCGCTGGCGTTGGAAAAAAGCATTGGCTTCATTAAAACATCCTAGGATTGGGTGACATCACTGGTTCAGCTGATAAACCAGCTGAGACCAACTGTGGAGATGAGATAAATCTGCTATATATCAACTTTAGAGTAGGGGAGACTCTTTGGAGATTGTAGATGGGGGATGGTTTACAGAGAATGTGCAAAAATAGTGAAGAGAAGCTGGTTGTGTGCAGTTTATTCCAAATAGAGAAATCAATAGTTCTGGTTGTGCAGCAGAACTTTCCCTTTCTCCAATCACTTTAATGCAATAATTTCCAGAACGGTAGCATCATTACCGTAAACACAGATTGATGCACTGTCCAGGCAAAATGGTGGAAAATACAGGGGGAATAAAGCCCCCAAAACAGACAGCTCATTAATTTCCTCCGCTTGTTCTCGGGCCTGGCGACCTGAGTTTTTTCACGCAGCGTGGGGAAATTTACTGCTTTGACAGGCTAACCAAGTGCGCTCCTCCTAATTTGTTTCCGCTCACATTTGTTTTTGTTTTGGCGTCATCTTTATTTTTTATTGCAAATTACAGAGTGCCCCGAGTAATCTGGTGAGTCCACTGCATGCTAATGAGCCCCGCACAGGACTTACTGTTCGGGGAATACGAGCCGGATGTTTATGATTATTGGGACTTTTCCTCCCCTTTTTCTTTCCCTCTCTCTTCCCCGTACTTGCTTCTGATGAGCTTCCTGATCATCATAAATCTTGAGACAGTTGTGTCCCCTGAGCAGAGTCTCTGATCTTGTAATCTAGTGTACCCCCCCATGCAGCCGGTTCTTAGTGTAAAATTGGGAAAGCTTCTGTTGAGAGAGTCAGAGAAAGGTCAGGATATTTCTGGTGAAGACAAATCTGCTGCAGAAATAGATATAAACAACCTTCTCAGAATTGCTGCCAGTCACGCAGGTTTAACAGTTCTCTCTTTTAGAATCCATCCACCTAAACCTGAGCATAACCACAGAGGAAACAGTGTCGGTAAGGCTGGTTTTAAAAATGAAACCCTAATGCCATCAAATCACCAGACCAATTTTAAGTGGTATGAACTAATCAAATGA